TAGGAGTGCTAAAGCTGAGAGATAGGCGTAGGGCACTGAATGCGCACTCAAATACAACATCAACTCAAGTTTGGTAAAAGAGGTTTTATCTATCTTGTGCACTTAAAAGCTTCTTCTTTCTAGTAGGCTAGGGAAGCTCAAGGATAGCAACCTTTTGTTCTTGTTTGACTTCTCGACTTGCTTTCACAGATTAAAAAATAAACGTATTATTCAAAAGATGAAATTCCAAATTAATTTCGTAAACTCAATCAAATTTCCTTTCACACTTGTTGACCCAAAAAATTGTATCAATGATGTGGCCAACAGATCCCAAAACTCTCACGTCCACATAAGCTAAATCCCAACACACTTGGGCAAGTCGTCAGTTAAACGGTCGAGTCGACTATAGGAATAATTTAGATGAAAAGTGAAACAGATCCAGTCCTTAAAGTCGATGCAAAATCAAAAGCTGAATCAATCAAAACCTTCATAAGGAAATCTTCCTGTGATGAATTTTTGAGCCCTAAAAAGTTTTCAATCTCATAAAAATTCAAACCCCTTAATCACCAATTCAAATTTCCCACAACCCTAATCGAGAATTACCTACCCAATTCAGGAAAAAGACATAGCACTGAAAACATCGTACACCCAACCCCCAAACTGAAAAAAATAGACAAACCTTGAGAGTTGATTTGACACTCCTGCGTTTGAGATAGTAAAACACAGGACAAGCAACAATTTTTACTATTCCAAAAGTGAAACACAGGCTTCTGAAGCCGACAAAGTAAGAAATGTGGCACAAGTAGGTTATAGATTTGCAAAGAGTGCTTCGAGTAGGAAATAAAAGGGGAAAGCAAGAAAAAGAAAATATAATTGGGAAATACGACATCATTATGGTTGACGATTCATTTTTACGACATCTGTCATGAACAGTGCATTTCAAACTGCCTTTTTTATATTGTTTAGGAAATGCAATTTACTGAAATTATATATTAACTGTTCACAATGTGAATTTCCTATTGTGGATTGGATTGATCAAAATAATTCTGCGCAAAGCACCAACGGACTTGGGCGAGCAAGCAAACAGGCCAAGTGCACAATGAAGTAGACCAATTTAATTTTGGAAAATCAAAAAGGCGGTGGAAAGAAGCCAATGAAAGAGTCATAATCATAATAATCAGTCTGATGTAGGCCAAAAACGTAAAAACAGTACAGGAGGCATCATTACTTTCTTTAATTTGTAACATCCTAAATAT